TTGCCATCAGGAGCAGCCACACCAAGTTTGTGTTAAATAGGTTTTCTGGGTTTGTCCTGACTGACAGAGAAGTGTTAAAGAAATAAAAGTGCTGACAAGCAGCTTGAAGCAGAAGAAAGAATGTCAGAGCTGACAGACATCTTTCATGTCCTGAAGCATGTTGCCTAGCAGTAATTTATCAGGAGGCTAATACTGCATTTGTTCTTCTGCAGATTGTTGGAGAGGTTCTTAAACAGCTAACAGAAGAGAAATGTAAGTATGCTGGGCTGCTGCCCTCTTTCAAATCTTGCAGTTAAGCTTTTGGAGTTAAAATCTGGCTAAAGATTTGGAGAAGTAAAGAATTAAGAGTTTTGGTGATGGAGTATTGGAAGAAAAATGCCATCTATTGGATAGTTCAGAAGCAGAAATTGGAGGAGTAAATGTGAATTATGTTTTCTCTCTCCAGTTATTGTGAAGGCTACAAATGGACCAAGATACGTGGTTGGCTGTCGTCGTCAGGTAGCTGATCTTTGTCAATGTTCATTAAAAGTTTGCTTTGCTTTTAATTAGTAACACTGCTTTTGAGCGACTGGGCCCTTAGTGGGATTAAGCATTTTCTTTAAGATGTATATGGCTGTTTCCTACTGACATCTGTCTTCCATCTCCCTTTGCAGCTGGTATTCCTGTGACTTCCTAGTGAATACAAAGCAGCCCAAAGCATTTCTAGAACCTTCCTTGCATGTGTTTGATTGTTTTAATTGAGCTGAAGTTGTGTCTTTCTGCCTGAATTAGAACTTCTGAAAATTAATCATCACTCTGAAGGTTAATTAGCTGTGTGTGGTCTCCCTTGCTGGGTTGTGAACGTAATGTGTGACTGTCACTGTTGTGCTGAGCTTTGGATTTCATGTTTTATAAGTATATATATTGCCACAGAAATGAGGGACTTTAATATAGAACCTTGCTTACAGCACAATCCATCTTCTGCTGTAGTCAGCAAGAAGCACTTAGAGGTACCCTTTGCTTTTTGTTTTTATACAAAAGCAGAAGAGATAGAGTGCACACATGGTTTTAAAACTACAATTTAAAAATTTTGGTTAATTGAGCATTGAATGTGACCCACTAACAGGAACTAAAACCCAAAGATCAACTATTCCTCACCAAAGCTGCCCATTAAGTTAGAACTGCAATACCTAGTGAAGATGTTGTGCAGCTGCAGAGACATGGGGAGAGCAGAAGTGAAGCTCTAGGTAGATTTTATTACACTCATCCCTGACTTTAGGAAATGGAAGCAAGAAGGATATGAAATGTGAGCCTGAGGTATCTGAGCAGAAAACAGGCAATTCCTTCAGTAAAAGGAGCACAGGTGTGGTGCTGATAGTAGAGGTGCTTTTCTTTCTGAGGGCAGACAGATGTTCACTTCAGAATTTGGAACTGATTTTATGTGAAGAACAAAAAGAAGTGTTGGCAAGACTGACATGCAGATGTTTTGCATACTCCAGCTTTAGGTTTTGTACTTGGGAGTTAAACTGAATAGTGGTGTAGTGCAACCCCACCACAGGAAGGTTAACCAGCTCTGTTTAAGTGATTCATCCATAATGGAATTGTGGGGGCTGCAGGAGCTGAGAGGCAGAGGGGGAGCCTGCTGTGATTTAAAAAGAGGGGCAGCAGAAGGGGTTTGGACCTGTCAGAGGAACTTCAGGGGAAGGCCCACAATTAACAACACTGAGCACTAAGCAAGGAGCAAAATTCAGGCAATAAGTATTTTCCTGTGGTGTTGATTTGGTAAGTAGTTTGGGTGTTTTTCAGCAAGGATGGACCTTTTTCTTTTAGAGACAATTTTTGGAAAACATGGGTACCAATAAGTGAGTTAGTTCATGCATTATATACAGAGGTAGGCTTAACTCTCCTCAAGCACACCAGTGCAATGTGGTTTTGCTGGCATAAAACACCTGCAAGAATTGCTAGTCTTGAAATGTTCTTCAGATAGATAATTTGAAGCTTCATCCCTTTGAAGATGTTATGGTGGAGCTCTTTGTTTTCTTTCATCAGAAAGAACAAAATATTTTTCTGGAGCATAACTATACTTGATTCCACTTAGGGACACATGAGGTCATCTTGAGGTTCTGGGTTGACACAGAGAAATGCTGAGGAATAGGTTGTGCTGGATGAGCCTGGCATTGCAGCACTTACTTTCCAGTTTATTCTCCAGTAAAAACATTCTTTGATCTTACAATATTCTTGATTTGATACCAGAGACTAAAAACCCAAACGTATCCAGGATTGTTTTCAAAATGTCAACATTCCAAGTCAAGTAATGTCCTGTGGAGTGTTTCACAGACTGAGGTTTTTGATCAGGGTCCTTGTGGCTGGGCTGTGCTGCTGAGGAAGGGAAGCAAGGATGTTTCAATTGAATCTGAATTACTTCCCTCTCCGAAGTGCATTTCCTGATGAATTCAAGGTCAAGTGGTTTCTCATTGTTTTCTTCTCACTGCAGAAGAACTTAAATCTGTTGGGCAATGTTGAGTCTGATAGAATTTAAAGATTTTACAGATTTCTTAAAATTGGGCAGCTGGAAAGAGGTCTTTATTAGTGAGCCCAGTGAGGGAGGAGGGACAGCTTGATCCTGAGCCCACGTGGCCAAGGGACCTTGTCAGTCCCCCAGCAGGGGAGATGGGAAGGGTCAGGCAGTGCTTGCAAACAGCTGTTGAAATCCCTGTTGTTCAGATGCCATGTCAGGAAGGCTCAGAATAAACAGTTTTCATACTCTTCCAATGTGGATCCAGTACTTCCTCTTCAATTATTTTGAAAAGCAGAAATTAAGAGTGGCAAGGTGATCCCATTGCTCAAGGTTGTGTGGTGTGAGAGGTGGCACTGCTCTTGCAGACCAGGTTTCTTAAAAAGAAAGTGAGAACACAAGTTAATTGTTTTAATCTGTCACCATTTGACTCAGAATCGACAACAATCCCAGCAGAAATTAGCAGGTTGTACTGGAATAGACCTCTAATGTGCTTTAAAATGCCATAATAATGGAGTGAGCAGAGAAAAACTGCTGAGGTGGTTGAGTAGGGGCATCTGAGGTAAATAATAATGAGAGAATAACAACTGGAAAGGCTGACTTTGAGGATGGGATATAACTGGGTATGTGCAAATGGTGGAAGGCTCGGAGACAATATGTTAGGAACATCTCTTCACCATTTCTGGCAGTCCAGGAATGAGAGAGCCATTGAGTAGAAGGGTGGCAAGGTCAGACTCAAATGGGCAGGCTGTTCCCTGTGCCCTTGTTTGCTTGTTCTGAAACAGATGGTTCTGCTCTGTGTTGAGCAGAGGGGATGATTAGATCCCCACTAATCCTATCAGATTGGCAGCAGGAAAAATATTTTAAATAATTACAGTCTAGAAAGAATATTTCTTTTCCAAAGTGGCAGAGGTAAGTTAGTGACTTGCAGTTCAAGATCTGTTTCAGCCTTTGAAATTCTTCCTGTGGTCTAGTTTAGCTTTGCTGGTGGCCAGTTGTGACAACCAGCAGGTTCCTTGGTCTAGACCATTCTCATAGAATGGTTCAGGTTGGAAAGGACCTTAAAGATTATCAGGTTCCAACCTCCCTACCATGAGCAGGGACACCTCCCACCAGACCAGACTGCAAAAGCCTCATCCAACCTGCCCTTGAACACATCCTTGAGGCATCCACAGCCTCCCTGGGCAACCTATTTCAGTGCCTCACTACCCTCATGGTGAAGAATTTCTTCCTGATGTCTGACCTAACTCTCCCCTCTTTCAGTTTAAAACCATCACCCCTTGTCCTACCCCTGCCATCTCTGATGAAAAGCCCCTCCCCAACTTTCCTGGAGCCCCTTCAGGCCCTGGGAGGTGCTCTAAGGTCTCCTTGAAGCCTTCTCTTGTCCAGGCTGAACAGCCCAAATCTCTCAGCCTGTCATTTCTCCTAAAGATCATGTTCCCATGAAACAGTGTGTCAGCTTTTCCCAGTTTAAGCATTCCCAAAAATGGTGGTGATGTGGGAACAGTGTTTACTAACCCAGCTGCTTGGCATGTGGCTCAGAAGCCTTGTTTTCTTCTTGTGTGTGATTAAGCAGAGAGACCAAACTACAGTAAACATCTTGGCTAAATCAAACATTGTTTTGGAGCACGGTTCTAACAGAAATCCCTTTTTTGTGACTAGCTTGACAAAAGTAAGCTGAAACCAGGGACAAGAGTTGCTTTGGATATGACCACACTGACAATTATGAGGTAGGTTTCTGCTCCACAGCTGCTCTTCAGCTCATCATAGAAAGGGGGACAAACACTGGAGCAGGTTCCACCATGGTGTGAATTACCAGATCTGTCCTGTTTTGTAAATGTTTTCTGCCCAGCAGTGCTTAAGGAAAGACAGTTACTTTGAGGGGAGGCTTGTCTGTCTATTAGATATGGTTTAAAAAGCAACATATTACTCTTTAATAAAACTAATTCAGCTATAACTTGGCCTTTTCAGCTGTTTATTAACGTTTTGTTGGTTGGTTTAAAACTTGAAAAAGTTTGATGGGTTTGAGGTTTACCCTTTTCTTCAACAAACACACTAGTCTTGTTAACAGGGTGGGGGGAGAAGAAATCGTTTTGATAACTGCTGTAAAATTTGTTCCAATCACTTTATAAATGTGCCTGCAGAATGACAAATGTCTACTCTTAACTCTTTATTCCAGATATTTGCCAAGAGAAGTGGATCCACTGGTTTATAATATGTCTCATGAAGATCCAGGGGATGTTTCATATTCAGAGATTGGAGGGTTGTCAGAACAAATCAGGGAGCTGCGAGAGGTATCCAGCATCTCAGACCTACTTATCAAAATATGGTTGAAGGTTTTCAGTGCAACAATGTCTTGCAGTAGCAGAGGAAGTTTAGGATAAACACCAAAGCCCAGTTCTCAGCTTGGATTGAGTTTAAAACGAAGAAAGATCCTCTAAAGAAGAGGAAGGAGCCAACACCTTTTAGGCTAAGGGAGTGCCAGAAAGTCAAGTGGGAAGGTGTAGTTAGGATTGACAACCAAAAAACCAAACTTGAATATTGCACAAAACTGCTAGAATTGCTCTGGGTGGTGGTGGTATGACAGTAACAAAAGGTGGTTTGAGCAAAAAGCATCAGGAGAAACAAGCCACTGCAGAGCTGAAGTCTGAACAGGAAGGGCAAGATTGTGGATCAAGCTGTTGGATCAATCAGATGTTTTTTCCCTTTACTGTTTCTGATATGAAATATGCTGCACAGCTAAATAAGAATACAGGTATCTGGAGAACAGGCTGGCTAGTGTACTGTTGGCTTCCTGAGATTGCTGTAAAACTCAAGAGTCTCAGTTTGTTAATTGTCTTCACAGGTAATAGAATTGCCACTTACAAACCCAGAATTATTCCAGCGTGTGGGAATTATCCCTCCAAAAGGCTGCTTGCTCTACGGCCCCCCTGGTGAGTCTCCTTAAAGGGTAACAGATGCTTTGTTGTCACTCTCAAACTCCAGGCAATAGGTGTTTTTGTTCCTTTTTTTCTTCTTTTTCCCTTTTTTTGAAGTCGGGAGCATGCAGTGTTGGGTTACTAGCTAAACAGCTTCCATCTCTTGCCTGTCCAGGTACAGGGAAAACGCTTCTGGCCAGAGCTGTTGCTAGCCAGCTTGATTGCAACTTCCTAAAGGTATTGTAACTTTACCCTGGCACCCACCACATGCTGAATCTGTTTACTCTCCAGTCTCTTCACTTACATGTTTTTTGTCTTTCAAAAGGTGGTGTCGAGTTCAATAGTGGACAAATACATCGGTGAAAGTGCTCGGCTGATCAGAGAGATGTTCAATTATGCCCGGGACCATCAGCCTTGTATCATTTTCATGGATGAGATAGATGCTATTGGTAAGGCTAATAGCCTGGAGGGTGGCTATAGTCTCCTTTCAACACTGAAATTGGCTACTCTGTCCTTTCAGAAGAAATGTAATGGGACAAGTGGTTCAGCTTCCTCCTGGAGCTGTTACAGCTGGCTTGGAACCATGCCTGTTCATATCTGGCTTGGATATTTTTGACTATATAAAAAAATATTTTAAAATATGGGCATTTAACTCTTTAGATACCACCTCCCCCCTCATTTTAAAAGGAATACCTGGTTGTCTTCAGAGTTAAAGTTAGAGGCAAAAATGAAGTACTGTAACTTAGGAATTCGGTGTGTTGCAGGTGGTCGCCGTTTTTCTGAGGGCACCTCAGCTGACAGAGAAATTCAGAGGACTCTGATGGAGGTGAGTGTCTAAACCTTGAGTCCATACTGTACAGTCCACATTAAATAATAATAATACAGATGGGAATTGTTACACTGTGGTCTGGCTTGGTAGAACTTTTTCAGAGTCAATGATCTAAGCTAAAAATGAACTATATGCTGCTTTTACAGAAGGCAGCTGCACATCCTGATAACTCAGCCATAAGTTCAACTTGGAGAGCACTTGAAAGAATCTTGAAAATTGCTAAAATATTTTGTGGTATTTTCTCTTCTTACTGTGGCTTGACTTTGCTGCTGCTTACTGCACCTTCTTGGAGGTGTGGAGGGCTTCCTCCTTCTTAAAGAGAGGAAAGTGGAGCTTGTCTCTGTTAGCCCCAAAAGTTCTTACTCTATAAGTTTAGAACTATTACAGTTCAATTTTTCTAAACTAGGAGGAGAAGTGGTTGTATTTCCTTGTTTCTCTCCTAATTGCTCTGGTAAGCTGGGTTGTGTGAAGAGAATTTGAAAACCACTGGTGACAATTAGTAAGAATTCTGAAGCTAATGAGAAGCTTTGTTTGCAAACAGTTTGCCTGGTTCAAAAGAATGTGTCTACCTTACACAAAGAATTAAATTACTGTGACCAAAGAGCAAGTACTTTGAATTTTCACATTGAAATGTTTCTCTTTGTGTGTGTTATATTATTAGTATTCTAGAGGCTATTCTTCAAGTCTAATTTGAATGTCCTGGACTTAGTGCAGTACACTCCAAGTGTGCCAGCCAACCTTGGCTCCTGCAGTACTTGCACCATTTGACTGCCTTACTGTTTTAGTCAAGGCTTTCATGTTTGAACTGTGCTTTCCTCAGCATCTTTTTCTCTGGGCAAGGCATTTACAGTGTCTCAGGCTCTCCTTTGGTGCCTAGGGAAAGCACAGGGAGCTGTGGCCTTTCATTTATAGGCTTGTAGCATTTTTTGTTCTGATTTTTCTTTACCCCTTTTACGTCTTGGTGAAAACAATGGTGCAGAAAAGAAGTACAGTGGATCACACTAGGAAGGTTTTGGGTTGTTTAAAAACAAACTTCTGTTTTCTGTTAGTTATTGAATCAGATGGATGGGTTTGATACTCTGCACAGAGTTAAAATGATCATGGCTACTAACAGACCTGACACGTTGGATCCTGCTCTTCTGAGGCCTGGAAGACTGGATAGAAAAATCCGTGAGTTACTACCTGACTGTGGCTGGAAGGGTGGTATTATCCACATGATTTCTGTTTTTATTAAAGCTGTAATTCTTTCTAGATATTGATCTGCCAAATGAACAAGCCAGATTAGACATTTTGAAGATTCATGCAGGTCCTATCACTAAGCATGGTGAAATAGGTAAGTAGGAAGTTACCTGGATATCTGTACAAATGTGAAGAGGATGATTCTGCCCCTCTAACTCCAACTCTCACACCAGCCACAGAAATTCCCCTCTCACAATTCTACTTTTTCATGCATCCTGATTGAGTTGTTGTTAAGTCCTTGGCAAAGGAGAATTGAATATAAACCCTTGGTGTGTAGATGTAAGCTGGAAAATCAGTCTGATTCTCATCAGGTAGTTCTGTGTTGCTAAAGGAATAGCTCAGTGCAAGTAAAGCTGCATATTCATTAACCTCCCAAAGAAAGATAAATTCTTGCTGCAAAAGCCTGAAAATAAATAGAGACCTCCCAAAGAAAGATAAATTCTTGCTGCAAGAGCCTGAAAATAAATAATCTTTAAAAGGCATGGAGAAACTTCCTTTGGAGTTCAGAGATGGTGTAATGAAAACCTTGTTGTCTGAAACAAAGCTTGTCTTTGGTTAGGGGTGTAGAGAGCTCTCCAGAGTGTGAGAGGTAGAAGTATCTGCCAGTTGGAATGGGCACGGTTTAGTTAAGGACGGTGTTACTCTAAGCTGAGCAGTCTTAGTTTCAAAGTGATGCTTCAGAGCTTTCCTCATGAAAGCAGTAATTGATGTGCCTTTAAAACGCTGTTGGCTGCCTGTGAGTTCAGCAAGGCCCCCCAGGCCCTGCCCTCTGTGCTGACACCAGCTGGAGCTGCTCTCGGTCACCATCTGGCTGCATAAACAGCTGCAGCTCTATAGAGGGGGTGGCTCGGGAGAGGGAATGAGCTGGGGGAGGGCCAGAGAGATGGGGATTGGCCTTAGCGACAATGTTGGCTTAAATATGCATGTGACTATGGTCTAAGATTGAGAAGCTCCAAAGCAAATAACGAACCTGAGGTGAAGTACTTAGTCCTTTTTCTCCCTATCTTGGGCACTGCAGTGGAAGCAGGGTAGGATGGTTCCTTTGCACCATGAACAAGATGAGCTGGCAGATGGGTACCACCTAGATTTCTGAACCTGACAGGGGAAGGCTGTGGTGCTCAGCTCTGAGACCCTGAAAGGAAGTCCAGGACTTACTGACAAGGTGGGGTGTGAACTGCATTAAAATCCTAAGAGAATCTCATGCTGTTCCAGGCTCCAGCATGAGATTCTGCAGTTCCAGTGCTGGAATCTGCTGAAGTCTGTAAACCTACCAAACCCTGCAGTGTTCATTGTTGCATACTCCCCTCATTTCATTTTCTTTTACCTTCTAATGATGGGGAGACTTGTTTATAGCACATGGAATTGCAATACAGTTTAATTTCTAAGGCGTTTTGTATTACTAAGATAAAAACTTTCAGCTCAAGTGTTTGGAATTTCATACTGAAGGTAAGCTGTTCTGAACAGTTTTGCAGAAAAAGTTGATCATTTTGTGGTATTTGCTCTTGCAAATACCAGAACTTGCTGGAGCCCCAACAGACACAACTTATTAGAAATTGATTCTAGAATCTGTAACCATAGATTTAGTCTTTTAGTAAATATATGTGTGTAAAATAGCAGACTTAATAGATGTTAAATGCTCTGAGTAGATGCAGTTGTTAATAAGTGGAAAGGAACCAAGTTATGATCACTTGGAGATAAGTTTCTGGTTTTTTACATAACTGAAATGATCATTAGAACACTGTCTTGTTGTAGCTCTTCTTGCATTTCATGTTGATGTGTGTAATCTCAAGCATTCTAACTTTGGGTTTTGGTTATTTAATGCAAGCTTTTGGCTTCAATGACAGGGATGTTTTAATGAAAGGGATGATACAGCTGCTGATGATTTCAGTTAATTTAATTTACCAGTCTAGCTGACAGCCATCTCTTTGCACTGAAATCAAAGTAAAGTATTTCTTTGTTAGCTGGATCTGTATTTTGTTGGCATCCTTCACGGGAAATGTGAATGTATTTCTAATTGGCATTCATGTTTTATGACTAGATTATGAAGCAATTGTGAAGCTTTCAGATGGCTTTAATGGAGCAGATTTAAGAAACGTCTGTACAGAAGCAGGTATTTTCTTAACTCTTAATTTTGATGTGCTAATGCTGAACATTTGAGCAGTTTCTCTGATACTTCTGCCAGTAGATGACACGGTGCTGTGCCCTGAGGCTTGATGGAACAAATGGAACAAAACCTCTCTTCTTTCTTCCACATTTCCTCATGACTTGTACAGTCAGAACTTGATTCTTAACATCATCCCTCTGAGGCTACAAACAAGTCTCCTGCTGGGTCTTGTGGATACCAGCAGTCCAGCTGGTCATGTGCAGATTTGGTGCTGGCCTGGAGCAGCAGCACTGCATCCATCTGACCTGCCTGCCAATATCCCCTGCCAGACAGGAGCTGGATCTGCACAGAGTGGTGTGGATTTGGACATGAGTAGTATAGAAAAGATCTCTATTTCAGGTGGATCAAACAGCCATAGCATTTCTCTCCCGGAGCTGGCCTCTAACCACTGCGTGTCATGGCGTCCCTCATAATACCTCCTAAGCATGAATACATTCCAGAAACAGTGATTTTCAGTAGTTTAAAACAAGTTACATATTTCCTACTTATCACCTAGTACAGAAGAGTGACCTCACTGAAGTTGCTCTTCTTTCCAAGACCCCTGTATAAGCTCTGCATGCAGACAGTGTGACTTGGACCTGTTTTCCCATTTATTTGAGCTCATCTTGATGTACTGTTGCTGCCAGGAGCACCACCTTATTCTTGCTCTTAACTTATCCTTACAGGTATGTTTGCAATCCGTGCTGACCATGACTTTGTAGTTCAGGAAGACTTCATGAAAGCTGTTAGAAAAGTAGCTGATTCCAAGAAGCTGGAGTCCAAGCTTGACTACAAACCTGTGTAAATTAACCAAGTAATTCATGATTGACTGCACATGTCATATTGGCTTAATGCATAAAAAGAGAGAAATAATGTACCTCTTAATTATTATTGTCAGGTGTTTGTGTAATGTGTAGCTAGTAATTTGATAACACTAGTTGCAAGTTGGCTGCAGGAGGATGTTTTCAGTACAATTCTGAAATACAATATTCATTACAGCCCAGGTTAAGTAATATGTGTGGAGGAGATGTGCTCTCTTAGCAGTTATGGGGTGAATTTGTAAATGTGCCTGAATGGGTTAACAGATTTCAAGAAAGTCAGTTTGTTCCTTGACTTTTTTTATATCAATAAATTTCCTTCCCCCAAACAGTTTATGAATAAAACTTGTTAAAATCTGCCTATCCTGGTGTAGCTTCTCTGTAACTCTTGAAGAGAGCTGAATTATAGTCCAGCCTCCCTTTAGCTGGAACTAGAGGTTCTCCAGAGGTCCCATCTAACCCCTACCTTAGAATGGTTCAGGTTGGAAGGGACCTTCAAGATATCAGGTTCCAACCTCCCTGCTATGAGCAGGGACACCTCCCACCAGACCAGGCTGCACAAGCATCATCCAACCTGCCCTTCAACACCTCCAAGGAGGGGGCATCAACAACCTCCCTGGGCAACCTGTTCCAGTACCTCAGTGCCCCCATGGGGAAGTTTCTTCCTCACGTCTAAACTAACTCTCCCCTCTTTCAGTTTAAAACCCCTTGTCCTATCACTGCCCTCCCTTTTTGGAGTTTTTTGGAGTTTGAAGAGCAGCTTTTCTGTCGTATAGGAGTTATACTGGAGTCTTGTGTCTTACTTACCAAATGGAGACATCCTTTCCCACAGAGAGTCGAGGGAAAAGTGCTATTTATTCCTTTGCTGCTCAAGTCCAGGAAGAGGATTTAACTGTGCTAGTTATTGCGAGCAGTAAACAAGTCTTAAACTGTTTGTAGTCTTCCCTTATGCTGGAGTAACTCCTGTGCTGAGTGCAAATTTATAGACAAAAGCATCTTAAGTGGAGGTGGAGAAACTGGTAATGGTTTGATATATAAAAGTTGTAATTACAGCTCTCAGGGTGGAGAGGGAGATGTGTGAGATGGATTTCCTTTCCATCTTCCCCTTGCAGGGGCCTGTCCAATATACTTTGATCCTGTGCCGCTTTAGGCATGTGAAGTGAGGTACCTAGTACTGCTGAAGCTCTGAATTTGGCCATCTGTGGGTTGCCTTTGTGCTCCCAGGGAGCTGGCTGCTGCAGCTGGCTGAGTAATCACTGAAACAAAGAAAAATGTAGAGGTGAGGGTGGTGGTGGTAAGTGCATCTGTCACCATGTTTTATTCTTGTTTTTCAGCCCTCTCCACCCAGAGGGGTGTGTGTGCAGATTGGCTGCACTATGTGACCTGCCTCAATGCACTGGATCACTAGTGCACTGCACTTCTGGCTGCACTTCTGGCTACTTCTAATTATCCTAATTGGCTTATTCTGGGCATGCTCAGCTGACAGACAGGATCAGATTAACTCTGGCCTTCACAGGAAACGCTGCTTAACAGCATCTCCCTGGCTGTTTTAATTGCTGTGGTTGCATGTCTTGTCACAGTGAAAGAACACGTAAGGTGTAGAACAGTTAGAACAAGCAACAATATTTTCTATTTTTTTTTTGGCTAATGGTTGTTACGGACCTTTTTTTCTGGTTAATTTGAACCCTTCCTCTTGTGATAGGGTCAGGAGTGTAAAGATGCAGCTCTCATTGGATGTGAAGCCAACCAGCACCCCAGGGGAGGGTGCAGCCGGCAGGCGTGCGCGCCCCCGAGGCAAACGCTTTCAGCATCTGTATTCTTAATGTCACTGCGTTTTGTTTCTACTTTTTCCTTGGAGAAGGGTAAAAGATGCCAAGCTGTTTTCTGAAGGCCCAGGAGTGGTTATAGCTAATTTTTTCAAGTTTGGGCTGTAAGCTAAGGCTCCCAACACCCATCTCTGTTCTTGTTCTCCATGCCAGCTGGAGGTGGGAGCTGCAGTTTTGCTGTTGCTTTCTCCTTTGCTGTTTTCTTTTTCATCTTTCACTGGAAGGGAATTGCAGTGCTGAAGGAGCAGTTGCTGAAACGTGATTGTCAGAGGTTTCTCAGGGGGGAAATCAGCAAAATGTTTAAATAGTTTGGGGTGGCACCTTGAGTCCAGCACAGCATGGCACCAGGGAACCTCAAAAAGCAGAAAAACAGGTTCCTGCCCCAAGACTGGTGTGTTAGAGTGTTACTATTTTAACATGTCTCCCTTGACGCAGAGGAAGAGCCTACATTTAGGAAGGAGACATTGTTATTTATTGCAGGTTTGTGCTTGGTGCCTTCCCACAAATGAAGCATCCCCAAATGAGATGTTTCACAACATTTATACATAAAATGATAAAGTTAGGAAGCTTTCATCTCCATCCTCTTTATAGTGCTTGGTTAGAGATGCATGCTCAGAGGAAAGGTCTTCACCTGGGCAGGGGTCTTTGACCTGGGGGTGTGATCTTTAGTATTATAAAGACATTATAATGAGCTAAGCTCACCACAAGGACACAATATCGCAAGTTCTGTAACTCCAGCATCCCAACTGCTTCAGTAGTCACTCTTTTCTCAATTTTAGGTCTTTTCATCCCATCCTGCATTCCTCAGGTCCGACGGAACTTGAGTCTTCCTGCCAAGTTACTGATGCACACGAAACACCCTTGAAACATCTTGATTAATTGCTTCTTCAAGGCCTCATTATTCCCGGCCTTGTCTAATCGTGTGCCTCTCTGATTACAATTTTAACTTGCACATACACAAAATAACCACATTATTCCAAATTACCGAGCTGTTTTCCAAAGAGAGGGTGTTTCCCCCTGCTCGGGAACCTTTGTGACCCCAGCTGAGACTTGAGGCAGGCTGGTAAAACGGCAGATGAGATGAGCACCTTGCTTGTCAACAGGGAAGCAGTTGGGTTTTGGGGTGAGGAAGAAGCCATGAGGGGAAGGTGAGGAGAAGAACATCTTTGGAAGTGCCTATGGCTGCGAAACGATGTGGGAAGCAAAGCCCAGGCATGAGATGCTTCGGGCAGCACCTGCAGCTGGGCCAACCTGTAGCAGGAGGGGAAATAAAAGGGGGTTTGTTGAAGTTGTGAGAGCGGGGTTGCGGAAGAGACTGAGGGGTGACCTCAGTGTTTACAAATCTGTAAAGGGGCGAGTGTCAGGAGGACAGAGCCAGGCTTTTTTTTCAGTGATGTCCAGTGATAGGAGAAGGGGCAGTGGGTGCAATCTGAAGCATAGGAGGTTCCATGTAAACATCAGAAAAAACTTCCTTACTGTGAGAGTGACAGAGCCCTGGAACAGGCTGCCCAGAGAGGCTGTGTAGTCTCCTTCACTGGAGACATTCAAAACCCGCCTGCACACGTTCCTGTGTGATGTGCTCTGGGTGACCCTGCTCTGGCAGGGGGGCTGGACTGGATGATCTTCCCAAATCTCTTCCAACCCCTACAATTCTGTGATTCTGTGATCTGCTCCCTGTGTGCGGGGGTCCTGCTCTGCCATGGCTGCCAACAGCCACGCAGGGCTCTTAAAGTGCTTGGGAGCATGTCTGGCTTTTAGAAAAGCCCATTTTTTTTTTTAATAAGTCTCCTGAAGCCTAAGTCTAATTGGTATATTTACTTAAATGGGCTGATTTGCTGTTCTGTTATTAAAGTTATTTGTGTCCCCTATCATTCAAAGCTAAACAAAGCATTCAGATGAGGATGCAAAATGATTTAGTTTTTCAAGCTTGCTCTTTGATTATCATAATTAACTTTGACCTCTTTATTTATTTTTCCAAGGAATACTGTGGTGCTTCCCCAGTGAGATGTTGGAAGCAAATATGTGGAATTATAAAGGACTGGTTAGCTTCTCAAAAGTAATCTCGAGTCATCTATGACTAGTCCAGTAGTCATAGATTGGCTCTTCAGGCTATCCAGCTAGCTAAAGAGTTCTGCCTCCAACCTGGCTGAGAATGGTCTTTGATGGCATTTGTGTCACCCTTTTGTGACAGCCAGGTACTCCAAAACATCATTCTGACTCAGAAACAGCCTTCCTCAGTTGTCTGAGTGATGCCATCCTTTATGTTGTGGCTGTTACTTTGTCAAAGGACCTCAGGCTACTCGCAGAGCATCATTATGATAATTGCTGGAAGTAGTAGTCTGTGAATGGGAAGCTTGTTTTTTTTTTTCCCCCCATGGTGTCCAGACAGTTCCACACTTCATTTCAGGCAACACAAGGGAAAAAAATACCATGTTTAGTGAAGATTCTTATTAATTTTGAAGGGGAGCTTTGCTGTTGGTTAACTGAATACTAACATACCCCAAGCTCTTATTTTCTGCTTCAAAAAGAGGTAGTCAGAGAACTCAGGGAAAAGGATGGAAGTCCTGCTGTTGGAAAATACAGTCTTTTTGGCATGATATGATGGTTGGGTACAACCAAAGTTACAACAGCGTGTCCTGCAACTGAGAGCTAAACCTCAGCTTTGTAAAAAATGTGAAGTGGGAAATAGGTGGAACATCTCAGACTTGATATCAAGTATTTAATTTTTAAGCACTGACAGGCAGCAGTTCTCCTGCATCAACCCAGACCGTGGATGCTGATGCTCTACAGAAACTTATTCATTTGCTTCAGGCAACAGATGATCCATTAATTCAAGAGCAAGTTTTAATCACTCTCAGCAACAGTGCTGCCTTCACTGTAAATCAAGTAAGTATTGTTCTGTAGAAGACACAGTGTTTCAGTACCAGTTAGTAGGGAAGATAAGGGGTGCTGTTCTGCTGGAGAGTGACATGTGACTGAGAGCTAGGATAGCTTGTGTTCTAAAATCCATTTTATGTCTATGCCTTAATTTTTGCTAGCCCCAAATAATATAATTTGCCAGCCTCACAAATTTTATCTAAGCTTAATGTTTGTATAACTTAAAGTCTGTGCAGAGTTCAGTATTTTCAAAGTGCTGTAAATACCTTTATGTCTTTTGTTGCTTACTGTCATGTAATGTTAATGGAAGGATTGAATTGGAGAAGGGTGAAATACTTTCAGGATCATGAAATTTCTTCAAATAATATTTTGTCTTTACAGTGCTGTATGCCATTTACATCTTAGCAACTTTCCAACCATCCAGGTCTTTTTGAGTCAATGGGAAATACGATGCAGAAAAATGTTTATATGGATGCAGATTTTCATGCCTTTGTAAAAGGTTAACCTCCAAGGTCCCACCTGCTTGGGTTTTGTTTGGTTTTTCTTTTTGTATGGTACTTACAACATCTGTCCATTCTGGATTCTCAAGACTGTTCTTTTAATATAAGTCTCTCAGAGTGTAACTGAATCTCAAGGCTCATTGGCCCATATTTCATTTTCTTGAAAACAGTTTGTTGGTTTTTTTGTTGATGGTTAGACTCTTAAGTGAGAGATTTTTTAAAATCTAATGGAAAAGAGAGGTAAAGTTTTAGACCTACTCATAATAATATATAACTGCACATTCCAACCCCAACCATTCTATGATTCTATGATACTGAACTTCTGTTCAGTCAGGATTTTTAGGTACTATGACCTGACCTGGCTCAGCCATTCTATAAATTCATGCAATAAATATCTTTGATTCTTTATCATCTAAAATGCTTTAAACATGCTTTGCAGGCCAAATTTTAGAAGTAAAGGTGCTGTTCCATTGTCAAATAATGTCAAATAATACTTGGGCCCTAAGCAGGGATATAATTAATTTCAGTGGAAGCAATAAAGCAGTATCTGCTAACATGCTTTCTTTAAATAGAGTAGTCTATTCTGGAAGTCTTAATTTACACGTTCCATTTGTATTAAAATGGAAACTTGGAGGAAACCTTTCAGCATTTAAGTTTCTAACAATCTTATTGAATATCTGTTTTATATTTCAGGATATAATCAGAAATTTGGATGGACTTTCTATTATTGGAGACATACTCTCAAATTGTGTTCCCAAAGTTAAAGAAAAAGCACTAAATGCACTTAATAATTTGAGTATGAATATTAAAAATCAGGAAGAGATACAGGTAAGTTTCTGAAGGGGAATAAATCAAAGTGAGGCCCAGAAGATAGTACAGGGCTTTCATCATATTTGTTAAATACAAGTCAGAATAGCACAATGTTCTGAGGTTAGACATATGAATCTGCAGATCTGGATGACCTGTGCATCCCAAGGCCAAAAGAATACTTTAAAAATGCACTGCATCAGTGGCACTTCCTGTTTTTAAAAGACAGTTAGGAAACAAATCACCTTGTGTTCAGCTTTCACCAAATACTTTTAAACAGAAATTGTGCCGCTGAATTTATAGTAAAATTATGTGAGGCAAGATGATTTCCAGACTTGTCTAGAACATCAGCAGAGGTTGTTTAATAGGATGGATTGCAGGCTGAACTTAGCATGGCTTTTATCTTAAAATAGTGTGTAGTAACAATAACAAGTCCTGCTGGTAAATACAGTAGATGGTATAGCAGCTTTGTTTTAAGGAAGTGCTTGCCAACAGCAAATACTGATATAGACACATAAGTAGAAAACAACGTCTTTGGTAAAGGCAAAATATTTTTTTTCTTAGTTAGGACTCCCAAGATTCCTTGTTTACTGTCATCCAGAAGAATGTTTGGTAAAAAAGTAGTTGTTTAATGTTGGTTGTTATCACTGTTCCTGGAACAGTGTCCCGGTGACTGGGACATATGGTTAGAAGAAAGGATTTAATTCCAAGACTTTTCCTTAGTTTCTTCTCAACATTTAAGAAGACGTTGGTTGCTGTAAGTGGTTTTTCAAAAACCTCCTTAGAGCAAATGTGCAACTTCTGAGAGGGAGTCAAAACAATTTGTGTTTTGAGAGCAATTTGTGTTTCAGGAAGGTTAGTGAGCATAACTCTGTAACATCTGCTTCTGTCATGACAATATAAGGTTTGAATATATTAAAAACAAAAAAGTCCTTGTTTCCAGGAGCTTTGATCAGGTTATGTCTTCAGACAGCAGTGTTATGCTGCTGTAGCTAGGCAACTAATACTATTTGTGAATAAAAAATTAGCTTGTATCAAAAAATGTGTTCTCTTTATATGTCCTTCCCTTTTTCCCCAGGTATATATTATGCAAGTTTGTAGGGAAATTGAGTCAGCTCCCCTGAACTCTGATCTGCAGCTTGCTGGTCTCAGATTATTGACAAATATGTCTGTTACCAATGACTACCACCATAAGATGATGAACTCAATTCCATGCTTTCTTCATCTGCTTTCAGAAGGCACTGAAAGGACACAGGTACTGGGTAGTGTATTATTACAAACCATTTATGAAGCTGCTTTACTTGTCTCCTTTTTGCTTTTTTTGTAAAATGGTTTAGACTGTACTTAGAAAATCAAACATTCACTAATGATAGCAGATAATGGGTCTGCGTGACTTTCTCAATGTAAATTCAGAAAGAGAAGATGAAGGGAATCTTGCTAGTGGGGCTGTTGGGCTAGAGCTCTGCCAAAGCTGTGCTGTGTGCACAAAGTAGCTTTACTGCAACAACTCCAGAATTCTCTTCTGCTCACTAAACATTGCTGCTGCATCACAGGGCAAGGAGTGAAAAGCTTCATGGATGTGTGAGTCTCTCTAGGAGAACACACCAAGCAGTCATAACCTAACCTGTTATGGATTTCTGTTCCCTTATGCTTATTACATGTCTTGCAATCCTAGTGACTGCAAAGGGAAATTGTGCTGATTTGTGAATTATTGTAGTACTGTGAAATATTGTAATATGGAAATAAGAACTTCAAATAGGGACCAAATTCAGCAGTTACTGAAGATGTCACAGTACCATCACTGTCAACGTGCTCAGTTTTTCCAGAATGCAATTTTCCATTAAACTTCATCAGACCTATTTTACTTAAGTACAGTAAGTAGCACTTGGCCTTTTCCTATTGTTTAGTTAAAAAGCTTAGTGTCCCAGCATCCACAAAAAAGCAAACATATATTTTTATATGCTTCTGATCACATTTTAAATACAATGCTTCTGATCACATTTTAAATACAGTACTTAAGCATCATGTATATATTTTTAAAGTATTCCATATTTTGCCTACTGTGAGTTCATCTTGCCTTTTTTTGATGTTTAAGTTAAACTGAATGTATGTGTCCATCTCTGGAGTCCTCAGTACAAGATGGATGTGGACCTTTTGGAACAAGGCCAGAGAAGGGCCACAAAAATGATCAGAGAGCTGGAGCACCTCTTCTACAAATACAGACTGAGACACATGGGGTTGTTCAGCCTGAAGAGGAGAAGGCTCCAGGGAGACCTTATAGTGGCCTTCAGTACATGAGAGGGGCCTACAGGAAAGCTGGGGAGGGGCTGTTTATAAGGGCATGTAGTGATAGGGTGAGGGGCAATGGCCTTAAACTAGAGCAGGGTAGATTTAGATATTAGGAAGAAGTTCCTTACAGTGAAGGTGGTGAAGCACTAGAACCCAGAGAGGTGATGCAGGACCCACCCCTGGATACATTCAAGGTCAGGCTTTATGGGGCTCTGAGCAACCTGATCTAGTCAAAAAGGTCCCTGCGCATTGCAGGGAGGGCTGGACTACATGACCTTTAAAGGTCCCTTCAAACCCCACACATTCTATGATTCTGTGATTATATACTTAGTATATATGTGCTAGTGACTCCATAAGTTCAGCTTTTTCCTATACCAAAGGCTGAAGTGTACAACTTAATATGTTAGTTGACTCATTTTATTTTTAACTCTCCAAGTCAACACTGACATTATTGCTGCCTGTTACTGCTGTACTCACTGATTTTAGAGCTTGAAAAAACTTGTACGTTCCTCATTTCAGATTCAGGTTTTGAAGGTACTTGTGAACTTATCTGCAAACTCAGCCATGGCAGGACATCTTCTCAGAGCCCAAGTAAGGTTCTTGCTGTTTCATTGTATTTTTTAAATTTATGCACGTGTATATGTGTTGATTTGTGCATGCGTTAAAAGAATTCTAATATATTAGAAGTATATATGAAAGTCCAAAGTAAAAGTCTAGGCAGTACCTGGTCAAAATTAGTAGCTAGGAGTGTACATTCTTTCACAGGTTGGCTTTCTTCCACAGTCTAGTATAATGCAGATACTGTACTTGCAGAGGGAGAGTCACAGGGCCTATGTGCTTGAAGGCAGTTGGTGATTCTTCCAGTGTATAATTCCAAATAATCAGTGATAATTTGCAGAAGCCTGTTCTCACTTTGCCTTTCCACCAAAGGGGTAGAACTTTTATATATGTAATATACAACATACACTGGTAGGTTTCAAAATCAAACCCAAGACCTAATTTCCAGACATCCAGTCAGTATATAGATTGAAGACCATGTACAAACATCCAATACAAGCTACTGTAAATGATCCCCCTCAGCAGCTGTTTCATAGAGTCATAACATTTTTTGGGTTGGAAGGGACATTAAAGATCATCTAGTTCCAACCCCTCTGCATGGGAAGGGACATCTCCCACAAGACCTGTTTGCTCAGAGCCCCATCTAATCTGGCCTTGAGTACTTCCAGGCTTCCAGTACTTCCCCAGAGCCTTCTCTTCTCCAGGCTGAACGGCCCCAACTCTCTCAGCCTGTCTTTGTAGGGGATGTTCTCCAGCCCTCTGATCATGTTCATGACCCTTCCTCTGGACTTTCTCCAAGAGCTCCATGACTGTCTTGTGTTGGGGGCTCCAGAATTGGACACAGTAGTCCAAATGGGGTCTCACAAAAGCAGAGTACAGGGGCAGAATCACCTCCCTTGACCTGCTGGCCATGCTTCTGTTGGTGCAGCCCAGGACACGGTGGCTTTCTGGGCTGCGAGTGCCCATTACCAGCTTATGTTGAGCTTCTCATCAACCAACACTCCGAAGTCCTTTCTTCAGGGCTGTTCTCAATCCATTCCCCACCCGGCTTGTAATTGTGCTTGGGATTGCCCTGACTCAGGTGCAGAACCTTGCCCTTGGCCTTGTTGAACTTCATATGGTTGGCATAGACCTACCTCTCCAGCCTGTCACGGTCCTTCTGGATGGCCTCCCTTCCCTCCAGTGTGTCAGCCACACCACAGAGCTTGGTGTTGTCAGCAAACTTACTGAGGGTGCACTGAGCTCCACTGTCCATGTTGCCAACCAAGATGCACCAGTCCCAGTAGAAACCCTTGAGGAACACCACGCCTTTCCATAGCTATAATGCTATACTTGATGACCAAATTCCACTGAGATTCCCACCTTTTTACTCATAAAACTGTTTAAGCACTTCAAGTGGGCTTTCTCTGCATATACTTATGTCTTTGGGGAGAACATAATCTGACATTTGCTATTGCTGGCTTTGGCATACAGGTTTATTTCAGTTGTATTGTTTCCTTACACCAAAGCCTTTAAAGAGTTACGCACTGGAATGGTGCTGCATCCTCCTCCTCCCCAGAGTAAGTTTCTTAAAATATGCAGAGGCTTTTCTTTTTGAGCTATCTGCCTTGAGCAAAGCTTGGCTAGGTATTGCCAGCTTTTCATTATTAAAGCAAGATTAAGGTAGTTAAAAACTCAGTTCTCTGTAAAAAGTGCATCCTTTTCTTGTTTATCAGATGTGCTAACTTAAAATCATTCAGATCACTGCAAAGGGCAAAAGCAACACTATTGAGAAGGAAAGACAAGACCCTCTCTTCCAAATGGGAATTTTCCAGACAGCCACATTTTGGAGATTGAAAGTACAAAGCATTTATTAGCTTATGATGCACAAGTCAGTCTTTTCTAAAGAGGAAATGTGCATGCTGTGCAAGTTTCTGGCATGCTTTCACAGCATTTGGAGCACTGGTATTTCATAGGGTTTCTGTTTCAGATGGTTTAGGTGCAGATCTTTTTTTTTCCTTTTTTTTAAAGTGTGATTTAGTTGCATGTATTTACTGCTGGTGATGAAGTATGGTTTATTTCTTGAATATCCTAGGTGCCATCGTTGCTGTTGCTTTTTGACCACTGTATAAACAGAGATATTCTGCTTAGAGCCCTGGTGTTTGCAGCAAACTTGAGAAAGAACATGAGGAATGGAGATGGCACCATGCTTCAGGACCAGTACTCTGAAGATTCACTTTTCTTTACACTCTGCAGGGACTCTTCCCCCTTCACTCAGAAACTTGCCTCTTTGCTGCATCACCCCGATACAGAAGTGAAAGAGCAAGTTGGGAGAATATTAACACAACAGTAATTTTTGCAAAACAGACTGAAAATACCTGATCTTAGGAATGCCACGCTAAAAAAAAAACACCCCAACAAGCAAACAACCAAAGAAGTACTGAATATTACTAGGCACAAATCAGTTAATATGAAAGAAAATGCAATGTATTTAATACAGAGCATAACATTTATTTTTTACAAGCAAGATAAAAGCAATAGCTTAATTAGTACTGAGAAACTACTGTACAGCTGGGACGTACACAAATGGGGAGGAATGGCTTAAAACATGAAAACTCGTAAGTTCAGTGAGCACTTTAAATGGATGAGGTAAGTGTCTCAGTGTCAGAATTTTTGTTGCCTCAAGTATTTACAGCTGTTGAAGAAAAACCTCTATAGAATGGTGCATTAAAGATTTAGCAGTTAGAGACTAGGCATTTACATTTTGTTAATCTGACATCTACTAAAGAGGTGCAGGCAAATCTTAGAAATATTAAATAAAAACAATACCAAACTATCATTGTCTTCCTACAGAAATAGTATTTTCAATAAAAATTGCACATTAAAGTTATAAAGCCTATGTTTTTTTCACCTTACCTGCATGGAATATATTCTAAAACTTACTATATCCATTCCATTTAGCCAAAGTGCAGTGCAGTTAACCACAACCATGCAAGGTTTCCACGCTAGAAAAAAATAAAAAATACTTTCTCTTGTTTTAAAATAGTTACTTTGAAGAAAGCATACCTGTTTTTCAAAATATTTTGAGTCAAGGATTATCTGCAAGTGCACTTCAACATTCTCATCTTTGTAAAAAAGTCTACAAGAACAGTACCATACACGTTTTTACAAAAGCTTCCTGTTTTGTAGCAGCCCTTGAGCCTGTTTTTCTTGGAGAACTTTACTCCTTTTTCTTTGCTACTGGAACACCATTGGAGTAAGTGCTTCTGTTGAGTTAGTACCCATGAAGTTTTAGTCATCAATCCAGTTAATTCAAAGTGAAGTGGAACTCACATAAACCACATTGTAAAAGAACCTGAGGAAGTTTCATTGGTGAACATAAAATGTATTAGAAAACACTTCATACTAAAATGAGACTACTAAATTTTCCTGAACACTGCATCATAAAGTTTAAAGTGTCACATGTAAAGGCTAGAAAACAAGTTTTCCACCTTTTACCATTTCTGAGAGCTGTATTACTAAACTGTTCCCAGATGCTTCACCTTTGTACAATAAAGCACCCACTGTACTCTTAATGAAGTCATACTCTCTTGCCATTCAGTAGGTATTTCATTTTCAGTAGGCAACTTTGCAAATAGCTATGACTGCAAGAAAATTGTGACCTTGAAAATACAACATACCTATGCTGTGATCAATGCAGGGGTATCTAATTTATCTGCATAGATAGTTTTAACTTGTCAGGAATAGAATTAAGGCAGAAATAGAAGTTGGCATGATTCCCAGTCAGAAGCCTGACAATTGCTGCATGTCCTCCCCCTCTACTCTGCCCTGGTGAGGTCACATCTGGAGTATTGTGCCCAGTTCTGGGCTCCCCAGTTCAAGATGGACAGGGATTAAGACAGTCCATCAGAGGGCTATGAAGATGATTAAGGGACTGGAACAGCTGTGTTGTGAGGAAAGGCTGAGACCTGGGGCTGTTTAGTCTAGAGAAGAGAAGGATGAGAGGGGACCTTATTAATGTATATAAATATCTGAAGGGTGGGTGTCAAGAAGGAGGGGCCAATCTCTTCACTGGTGCCCTGTGATAGGATGAGGGGCAATGGATTCAAACTCAAGCACAGGAAGTTCCACCTCAACACAAGGAAAAACTTCTTTGCTGTGAGAGTAACAGAGCACTGGAACAGGCTCCTCAGAGAGCTTGTGGAGCCTCTGGAGAATTTCAAGACCCATCTAGATGCATTTCTGTGTGACCTGTCCTAGGTGATCCTGCTCTGGCAGGAGGATTGGACTTGATCTCCAGCAGTCTCTTCTAACCCTAAACATTCTGTGATTCTGTGACAGTGAACTTCTCTTTCCCACTGCTTCAAGTGTTAATTTTGTACTAAACAAGTCACAATTCAATCAGTTTATGATTTGCCACTTCTCGTAGCTTTAAATTTTTTCTGCTTCTGTATTTAACAAAGAAAAACAAAGGCTAGGCCAGACACTAAGAATTTGCCAATTCCACCTTTCTCTCCTGACAGGAACTTAGACTAGAATCTGTTCTAGGTATATCTGTGTATTTTCTTAAGCTCAACAACTGAGACATCTAGATGTCCCTCTGTTTTCTCCAACCTAAAAGTAAGTTTTAATTACCAAAAAGTGATATTTGTAAAGTTGATCTCTTACCCATTGCTTTTGATAGCTGACAGAAACAAGTGATAATTGTCTCTTCTGCTAAAAATACATAACTTGTTAGTGCTGTGCCAGTCTCCCTTTTATTGTCTAGAAAGACCTAATTTTAAATGCTTTATTCATAGATCAATGCTATTGAGATGCTTTGAAATCATGCAAGACTCTCCGAAGTGTCTTCATGCAAGTGTGTCTAATTTTTTTATCCCCCACCCTACACAGAATCTTATCAGCACCGAACAAAGTGCAACAGTCACTGTTCTGCATATAAATGTTGTGAAGTAATAGATACAAAATGAAACATAAGCCATTACTGAGGTGTAGTCTGTGATCCTTTTAAGTCAGTACTTCTCTGCTATGTGGTTGCTTAACTAGGTAACACAGAATCACACAATCTTAAGGGTTGGAAGGGACCTTGAAAGATCATCTAGTCCAACCCCCCTCCCAAAATCAACACTGGATGACTGAAAATCGTTTTAAATAAATTCTGGTGAATACATCTAGACCATACTAGAATTACCCTTTCAGGTGAAGAAATACTGATGTTTGTCAAATATGAATTTCAATAAAGTAATACAAGCTGCTTTTTCCTTAAGTGCAGTCCTCTGTTCTAGAACCCTTCTTCAGCATGAACTTGGACTGATTCTTGCCTCCTTGTGCTGTTCTTTCTTGGTTTTAAGATCTATAAGACTTCTAGGACTTCCTGATGCAATTTTTTTAAAGATAACTGTCAGCAGTTAAGAGTACTTAAGTTTGCTCCTAGCATTAAATCTCAATTACTGATTTTAATTACTTGCCACTATTTCATGTTTTTAAACTGAAGGTAAATAATTTGTCTTTTTCATTTATCTTCATGGAGTATGAACATAAAACATAATGCACAGCAAGAGCTAAAAAATTACACATATCCCATAGACAAAACCAAAAGTTGAACAAAAAAAATTATTTGCCCAAGAATTATGAAGGAGAATAACAATCCTTTTTATTGGCAACAATGGGCTTTAATTCTGTAAATCAGCATGGCAATTTGATACAGATACATTTAGCCAAGTTTTACAATACTGAACAATACTGTACAATACTGTAACTTCTCATTCAACTTTAAAATTATAGGGAAGCTCTAAGAAAAATTACCACAGCCCTTAAGACTTTTCACTTAAAAATAAAGTACTTAGTAATAGGCTGAGTCGATGCAAAGACAAGTGCCATTAAGGGATTCTGCCATTTCATGTACTGCAGTTGACAAGGAAGGTATTTTAGACATATTCAGGCCCAACTTAAAAACATGGACAAAACAATGAAAGTGTGCAGATACTCTGGCCAGCAGTAAGTTTTACACATCAATGATACAATATTAAATTATCTCTCTTTAAAAGGCACGTTTCTTTAGATCATTGTAAAGTTCAACTTTCGTGGTTCATGAGTATATGAAAATTAGAAGCACTCAGTAAAATTATTATTTTACTGTGCTTGTGCTTTAACAACACAGCTGTATTGGAAGACTCCACCCCACAAAACATACAGTGAAGCTATCAAGGTATGGGGCATAACCTGAAAATTAATGACTAGCAAGTGGGAGATGAAATTCTGACAATGACTAATTCAAGTAAGCTATTAATTCCAAGAATATGTCCTGCACTTTTATTATTGCTTTTGCAGGTAAGATGAGTTTTAAAAACAAAGAAACACAGTAATTTATCAGTGGTGTACATAAGAGTTGAAACTGCAAATTATTCCAAGACAATACCTTATATATTAACATTCAATTTTTAAAACACCTGTCAAAATGTATAAACAATGTAATGAGTAAAATTTATGATGAAATTGTATGCAAGTTTTAGTTCTGAAGCTGATAAACCTGGCATCTAAAAATCCAATTCACTCAAAAAAATCTACTTTGTAAGTACATGATATTTAATATTTGTAACATTCATTGGTAGTTCAAATCAAACAGGGTTTACAAGGAACTGCTACTGTCATTAGTCAAGCACATCATTTGTACTCAAGTCCCGTGATTCTCCATGGTTTAAGACAAAGAAGTCTTCTTTTTTCAAGCCGTATCTTTCAAGAGCTTCATTCAGTTTAACTGGAGGATCCAAGTAATACTGGAAAAATAAGAATATAAAAATAAAATAATATACTGTTGCAGCATTTTGGGGAAAGCAAGAATATCACTGCTGAATCTGTCATCACAACAAGAATGGTCGTTATTTTTAAAAATACCTAAAAAGGACAAGTATATTTTTGTAGAATTAAAATGTTTTGTTTAATTTTCAGTTTTTAAATGGTAAGAATGCTGATTTACAGTTGTAGAGTAGCTAGCAAGGCACAACCTATCATCCAAAATTTGTTGTTCTTCAATGTGTTGCAGTAGGTCCCTTTGAGGCAGACACAGGGCAAGAGGAGGAAGGGCTGGGCTCACAGCACAGCAGGTTGCACTTTCGTTGAGTAAAACAAAGTTCTTTAGCTTTGCTGTTTAACAGCTAGTGCTGTTTCAGTCAGGTCCCCCTGAAGTTACTTAATTGTATTTGTTGTATTTCAGAAAAGGCATCACCAGAGAGAAATCATGCATGTATGTGTGCTTCTAAAGACACAGCAGCATTTGTACCGTGGGCAGTAGCGACACAGCTTATTGGAAGCATCGTGGAGAGAAAATGTTATATTCAAGTTAAAGAGAACTGG